CTCTGGGAGATGTAGAATCCATCACGTACCTGGAAAGCATCATCGATGAACAAGGAGGTTCAGATGCAGACGTAACGGCGAGGACTGGCAAAGCAAGAGCCTCATTCCTACAATTGAACAACATATGGAACTCAAAACAACTTTCAACCAATATCAAAGTCAGAATCTTCAAAACAAACGTCAAGGCAGTTAGTTCTACTGCACGGAGCTGAAACTTGAGGAAATACTACAACCATCATCAAGAAGGTACAAGTATTTATAAATGGTTGTTTATGCAAGATACTCATCATACATTGGTCGGATACCATGAGCAACAGCCTTCTTTGAGAGAGAGAAAAACAGCTTCCAACTGAATAGGAAATTCGGAAAAGACGATGGAAATGGATAGTACATATATTACGGAAATCACCAAACTGTATCACAAGGAAAGCCCTAACTTAGAATCCTGAATAAAGGTGGAAAAGAGAAAGGTCAAATGATATATTACGTCGGGAAATAGAAACAGAAATGAAAAGGATGAATAACAACTGGAAAGATCTGGAAAGGTTTGCCCGGGACAGGTTTGGATGGAGAATGCTGGTGAGCGTCCTATGCTCTTCCACGAGGAGCAACAGGCGTGATTAAGTAAATAAGTATTAATACGCTACAGTACCTGCATATTATAACATGTACGCTGAATCAGTGACAAGTATCATTCTAAAACTTAACATATATGAGATTGAGATGGTGAAGAATATTTTTAGCTGAGGTGGATCATTTTAATGAAGTTTTGTTCTCTGAGGTGGATGGTTTGGTTGTCTTACTTTCATCGTTCTTCTGAAAGATATCATCAACATCATCATCAGTATGTGCATAATAATGCACAAACGTAGAAACAAAAATCCAACCGATGGGAGATATAATCAAAACAAAGAAGTAAACAATCAAGAGTTTAAAATCAACAAGAACCAATCAACATCAAGGTGTACAGAACAAACTGTGAATCACATATGAAGAAATATGAACACTTCACTTCTACTTAACATCTGTGCTGCAGATGATGTCATTCAGTAGAAAGATGAAATCTCCACCATCAAATTCACAGAGCAAAACTCCATCAAATATATATAAGATAATCAGGTTAAGGGTTATGGAAATTACTAAGTTTTTGATTGAGATCATGAACCGATTGATGTTAGATCACCATTGTAAACCTGGAAGCACTGGAGGCCTGTTTCGTCCTATTGTAGGACTTCTCAGCAGTGGTCCATTAGGATAAGCGTTCGCGCGCGAGGTTGAGTGCACTGGGTTCAAATTCCTCGAGCGAGATCGTAGATGCGTGAATTCAATAAACATTCATTAAAATCATTGGTGTTTTTCTTTTTAGATCCTTTGTAAGCCAACTCCATTTGAATCAAATCATCTTCAAGATAAAGAACTTCTAGCTGGTCAAGATTATTTACGTTTACATCCAGTCTCGGATACTGTATTTTTTATATTTACAAAAGGTATATTTGATTATGAACAGATTCAATATGCTTCATTATTAATTGATTGTTATGATTTAGCTGATATAGAACCATTCAATAAAGTAAATTTCAGTTTACAACACTCCCATGAGAAGGATCTATTGAATCATCTATATCAATTTCGGATCACTGTAGCTATCTCTGATCAAAATGATAATATACCTATATTTAAACAATCCAAATATTATATTAAAATACCAGAACATCTATCAGATGGATCATATATTACTGAAATGAAAGCCTATGATTTAGATAAAGGTGAATATGGACAATTAACTTATCAATTAAAATCAATTACATTCAATTACATTGATGATCATGATGATCATGAACATGATCATGATGAAGAAGATCCAGATCATTCAAACTATTCAAGACATCCACAAGAATATGAACAACCATTTGAAATTCATCCCCTAAATGGTATCATTACAGTATTACATAATCAGTTATTAGATCGTGAACAAATTGAATATTTTCATTTAAATATATTAGCTATAGATAAAGGAAATTTAACTACTCATACACAATTAATCATACAATTAATCGATATTAATGATCATTTACCAATATTATATAATAATAATCATATCAATATTGATTTTCAAGAAAATCAAAAAATCAATACTTTTATTGATTTTATACATTTAATTGATTTAGATAAAGATTCCAGAAATTCATTGATACATTTATTATTAGATAATAATCAATCGATCAATAATCCATTAATCGATAACCAATCAATCGATAATCAATATAATCATTATATTAAAATTATATCCGATAGAAATTTTCATTATAAACAAATCAATCAAAATGAATTAATGAATGAATATGAATTAAAAGCGATATTGATTAATCAATTAATTATTGATCGTGAAAAAATCAATAAAATTTTTTATCAAATTATTACATATAATACTGATAATAATAATAATCTAAAATCAATAAATAGTATCACTTATACATTAACTATCAATATATTAGATGAAAATGATAATATACCAATATGTATATATCCTATTTATAATAGTATTATTGGTGATTATGATCCAGATCCAGATCATGATCCAGATCAAGATCATTCCATAATGATTTATACAAATACACCAATTTATACATTCGTTATACAATTGAAAGGTTATGATCCAGATCATGGCTTAAATGGTACAATATTATATCAATTAAATCCATTGACTAATGGTAGTCAATATTTTTATTTAAATGAATCGAATGGTAAATTATATACAAATTGGTTCATGGATTCAGCATATGATTCCACAATGATTAATATGGATACGAATCCATCATATGATCCACCTATTGAAGGGATCTATCATATCAAGATATCACTTAAAGATATGGGTATACCATCTTTATCATCAAATGAAACACAATTTTTTATTAAAATTCATTCATTGAATCCATCGATAATCAATAATCAATCAATCATCCATTCGAATCACAAAACAATGACGTTTTGGTTATTTAATCATCATCAGAATCAATTTTTATGGATTTTATTGATTATTTCCATGATATTATTGATTATTATTATAAGTAGTATCATGATATGGATACAATCATATTGTAAACAAAAATTCTATCATCCAATTATCATATCAACAACAACAACCCAAAAATCATTATCAATCATTAAAGAAACCATATCTAATTAGTTGTTTATCAACCAATAAAAAATATCAATATTCATCGAAAATCAATAATCATAATAATCAATCAATTTGGCCAGATACAAATATCATTCATCAATCAATAAATGATCATCTAAATGTCAATACTACTACTAGTAGTGATACTACTATTAATACTACTTATAATGATCCTTTTGATTACACCAATCATTTACATACAAATCCAATCTGTTCATTACCTTTCCCATATGACACTGGTAACCATAGCAACAACAATAATAATAATCAATTGATAGGACAAAAGTATACTTCATTCAATACATCAAATCTATCAACTAATCATTTGAATAGTTCTATGAATGGAACATTGACAAATGATCATTTTAATCATGATGTATATATACAATCATCATTACATAGAACAATTGGAAATTCTATTGTTTATTCAACATATACGAATTCCTATTTATCACCTATATATGATCATAGTTATTATGATGATCAATGTAAGTGAAAGATGATAGTTAGATGGTGGTGGGAGGTAGTCGACAGGAAATTTTGGACCCAGGCACGCAATGTCGAGTCACTTAGATTGGTGGCCACATTGCATCATAGTCGATAGGATTCGATCTGCACTAAGAAGGACTTGACACGAATGACATTGGTCACCACCCAATGATCAATCAACTGTAAAAGATGGTACTTTATACGAATCGGTAGTCAAGGAAATGAGCAAAGTAATTGATTGAAGTGATAAAGATTTAAGAAAGATTACTGTATCATAATAAATGAATTGATGATTCAACTGAAGTTAGACAGTGGTATTGAGTGTTGTTAGAGGTATGAGTGAAGTTATTATTTCCTGGATACAGAAGGCTGGACTAGTTTTTGCCAACTTGCATCATTTATGGTGTAGGCGAGATATCCGTCTATCAAACAAAGGACGTGTTTTCTGCACAACAGTTAGTCTCGTTCTACTTTATGGAAGTGAAACATGGCCAGTAAGAGTAGAGGATATTCGTAGGTTACTAGTATTTGATCATGGGCGTCTTCGAATCATTGCTCGTATGTCCTGAGACCACCGGATAAGTAACCCGGTTGTTAGGAAAAGGCTATTAGGAAAGGATGGCCAATCAATTGATGAAGTAGTGAAACTTCATCAGTTGAGATGTCTGGGACATGTGTTATGGATGCTCAACCACCGACAGCCCTGATGTGCGATGTTTTGTGGTGTAGGAGTAGGTTGAAAAAAGCTATGGACGTCCAAATCAAAACATGGCATAAATCCATGTAGTCACTGACAAGTGGACTGATCCATGTTGGCAGGTGTAGACTACCTGGTTGGAATCCGCAAAATGATAGAAACCGATGGTTGGAGACCTTGGATGACATGGCTCCAAATCGTTTGCAATGGCGCAGGTGCATAAACTCTTTGTGTTCTCCCAAATTCTAATCTCCTGAATCCTCCTTGTCTCTTTTTTCTCTTTCCAAATTTATTTCACTGCATTATACTCTTTAAATAACATCTTCAAACCCTAATGTTTCCGACTACTGCTTATATTCTTACCGCCTCTACCACTACGGGATTTGAATCAAAAAGTGCATCTCTGTGCTAATGTGGAATGTTAACTGGAACTGATGTACGTACGTATGAAGTTCCACGTTGTTACTGACTGACTGACTGACACCGTGGAAAGGTTTTTCTGGATGTACCTGTAAAGTAAAATCAATGAATTTTATGTTTTCGGTCACTAGTAGTGATCAATATATTATAGTTGTTTGGCCCTCTAGTGCTGACTGATTTCTGACAATTCAGTTGCCATGTTGCCAAGATGTCGCCAAATGCAATGGTACGGCCGAGGGTGGAGAGAGTCAGCTCTCCCTCTCCAAATGTTCACACATGGTCACGCGATTACAGTGATTGCTACGGAAGTCCTATTCACTGTCTTCTCATGGCATTACTGTTGTTTACGAAACTGAGAGACCAAAAAGCGAATGTTCGACGCTTTGACGGGGTTGGTGGACATGGAGAACCCACCTCGGGTAGTTGGAAAACTCTCAATCTAAACTAATGGTGCACATGGGCTTCAGGATCCTGAGGGGGCAAATAGCGTATGAATCTATTGTTGGTCAACCGTCTACCATGAGACTATATCCGACGTTGCTCCTTTGCCTTGTAGACCAGACCTTCAGGTCAAAGGCTCTGGGTGTGAACCCCCAAGAAAACCACGTGGTTTGGTCTGTGGTGGGATTCAGCGCTCCCACTCGAAATGTTCTCAAATGAACACACGTATTGTTGGGAACGTTAGATTCCCAGAACTCACTTGGAAAAAATCCTAATCTTGTAATTTCATTCAGAAAATTTGAATTTCATTGTTTTCGCGCCAAAAACGCTCTTGTCAACTTCATGTCGTATTTCCCACTGGGAAATATTTTAAATGCTATTGGTCTGTTGCGTCTTTTAGTGTGCTATTTTATAACGCTTTCTAAGGACGGTTTTGTACTGTATATATACGTTTTGAATTGTGTTTATTGTTATCGCTCGTTTCTGGCTGTTTTGCAGAATATACTTCCCCATTCCAAGCTTGGACTTCTCTCTCTATTTAGCGAGGCTGGGACGCATCAATAGCTAGGTTGCTGGTCTTTGGTTACCGAGTCTTGTTTCTCGTTAGCAGATTAAGTGATAACTTCAACCCTATATAGCCGCTGACAAGGAATTCCTACTCACTGCTTTCTCACCAAGTGGGTGTTGTTTAAGAATGTCCGACACTTTAACTGAGATGATGGATATAGTGGATCAATCTAGAGGAGTTGGAAAACGTACATTCCAAACCAATAGTGTAGATAGAGTCCATGATTCTGAGTGAACAAAAAGTGTAGTAATCAACTATTGATTGCCGGCTAATATGTAACTACATTCCCTGACGTCGTTCCACTATCTTGTAGATTAAACCTTTAATAAACATATCATAACCATATTTAGATATAAATATTGTCGTTTTTTTCTATTTTAGATCAAAATCAACAAAGAAATATGAAATTCAAATGAACATATACCCTATTACATACCCTTTACCTCTTGATGGAGTTTCGTTCTCTTAGATGGATGGATGAACAAACCATCCAGCTCAGAGAACAAAGCTCCATCAAAATCATCCACTTGAGCTACAAATCTTCTCTACCATCTCACCACTTTACATCATTGAGATCAATAAACTTTTATCTTCAACAAAAATGAACTTTATATTGATCTTCACTTTCAACAGTTCCCCAACTGTAAAACTTTATCCTTTTCTAGTCGAATATGTATCTTCATTGATATATACTATGTATATGTATATACATTAGTCTCATCATCTATTCAGGTATCTTTCTAAAAAAGTATACAACCTTTCATTGTACAAAATACAAAAGATTCTTAACAAAGACATCATCATTGCTGATAATAAACAACAACTCGTGAATGGATTACATCTAATTGGCAACTACTCAACTATTGTTATCATTAGAATCAATAAGGATTTGATTGGATATTCATCTATCCTATACTAACTCATATCTGCCTATATTAACTTCATATGGGGTGTTTATGCTTATTGTGAATGTGTTTCTTTTTCTTCTTTATTACTTAAATAAGTAATACGCTACTTGTAATAATATGCCATATACTAATAAACCTTTATGCCTAATAAAATCAATCATTTAAGGAGGGGTTGAGGGGCGGGATTCTTGTTGACGATTAATTGTTGATACATTCATTCATTGTAATTGCTTGTTATAATGAATAAATAAATTGGAAACTTCACTTATGATTCTGACTTTCTGAATATCTATATATATGGAACCTTTCCAAGAAAGCTCGTATTTCATTGGATAATTGATAATGAATATATTTTATCAGTTTCGGGGTTGTGGAGATTGTTAAGTTTTTGATTGAGATCATGAATCGATTGATGTTAGATCACAATCGAAAACGTGGAAGCACTTGACGGCTGTTTCGTCCTACTATGGAACTCCTAAGCAGTGCGCATCCAGGATCCCGCTTGCGGGATTCGAACTCAGGACCTATCAGTATCGCGCGCGAACGCTTAACCTACTGGACCACTAGCCGTTAGTAACTCATTGTAACATATGATCAAAGGTATTTCTGTAATCAACTTTCAGTATAACTTAACAATGCTCACAACCCCTAACCTGATAATTACCATGTGCTCACTAGTGACTAGCTTCGTGAGAAAATTCTCGGAGTTCTGGTGAGAAGCCGTGACCAGTGGAGCTAATCAGTGTCGAGTAGAAACAGGTGTCTACCTCAGTACAATGGAAGATGGTCGCGCAACTTTGTGGATTGGTTGAGGTTAGACACTAACGCCATTAGGTGCCGGCTGGCTCAGTGGTCCAGTAGGCTAAGCGTTAGCGGGCGAGACTGTTGGCCCTGGGTTTGAATCCCGCGAGCGGGATTGTGGGTGCACACTGCTGAGGAGTCACGCGATAGAATGAAACGACCGTCCAGTGCTTTCAGGTTTTCATTGGTTGTCTTACATCAATCGGTTCATGATCTCAATAAAAAAGAATATATTTTATTCAAATGAAATCAACTAATCAAAAGTCGATAGAATTCGCTATGTTGAAGCGAATACTTCACTTGACTTAGTCTGCGAACGGAACAAAAGACTCTGTGACTAAAGACCAATAAACTAACTATTATATTGCGTCACAGTTCCTTTAACTAAATGGAGTAGTTGAAGTCCAAACGTGGAAGTATATTCCAAAGAAATCCAGAAGCACGAGTGATAACAACAGACACAAATCAAAACGTATATGCACAGCACAAAACTGTCCTTAGAAAGCGATACAAAATAGCATACTAAAAGATACAACGGACCAATAGCATTTAAGATTCTCACAAGTGGGAAATATGACATGATGGTGAAAAGAACGTTTTTGGCGCGCAAACAATGAAATTCAAATTTTCGGAATAAAATTATAAAATTAGGACCTTGTTTTATAAGAAAAGAAGATTAATGGGTAGTAGTGAAATTAAGGACACGCATCTTTTACGATTTGGGATCGCGTCCCAGAGTGAGCAACAAACATGAGACTCAGTTACATCCAGCTGCTGAGTCCCAAACAGGACGAAACGCATGTCTTGGATTCCATTGCTTACCACTATTCATCTTTGCCTAGAATGCTTGTGAACTTCATCACACTGAACGAGCAAATAGCTAAGTAGATAACATGATGGAATTTGAAGCGAACGTTATTGGGCTCGAGTCCCAGGGTGGATATCAAATCTGAAATGCAAGTATATCCAACTGAAGTGACCCGAATCAGACGAATGACGCCTCTTGGATTCCCTTGCTAACCACTATCCGTTAGTAATTCATTGTAACATATGATCAAAGGTATTTGTGTAATCCACTTTCAGTAAAATCAATTTGAATGTTAACTTTCGTTTTGACGCTACTTACTTACACTTGTTACCCTTCGTGGAGGAGCATAGGTCACCCATCAACATTCCTCATTCAACTCTGTCCTAGACAATTCTTTCCAGTTATTATTCACCCTTTTCATGTCTGCTTCCAATTCCCAACATAGTGTGTTCATTGACCTTCCTCTTTCCGCTTTCCTTCAGAATTCCAAGTTAGTACTTGTCTCGTGATACAGTTTGACGATTTTCACAGCTTATGACATTAATGAAATAAAAATCACATCCATTTAAATAAGAACAAGTTATATGCTATTCAATTATCTCATGACATAATCATCATCTTACACAAGATAAATATTTCCTCTTTGTAATTAGTGTGATTGACTGTAAAATCACTTACTGAACTGACAGAAAATGGTACTATTAAAGCATGCCCTGATACAGCTGAGAGTGGTGAAAGTCAGTTCTTCCACTCGACATGCTCTCACATGGCCACGTGCATACAACCACTGCCTGAGAAGTCCTACTCACTAACTTCTCGCGGCATTACTGTTGTTTACGAAATTGGGAGGACTAAAAGCAGATGTCCAGAGCTTTAGGCGGGTTGGTGGGCACGTATGATCCAACTATGGGGTTGGAAAACCCTATTTGCAAACCGATGGTGCACATGGACTCCAGGATCCTGAGAGGACAAATGGATTTTGATTAACATTTATGATTAATAGATAGGTCAGTGGGATGGATTAAGTTTAAGCTAAGGATTTTGCTTAGGATTAGGATTTGATGTTAAGATCTAGATTCAGATTAAGAGTCAAGGTTAAAATTTGAGGTTAGGAGTTTGCATTAATAATAAATCTATGGCTATCTTCTTCTGGTTACTCTGTCTGTAAGTCTAATAGAAGTCGCTATGAATGTAGATTGTCCGAATTCTTGGAACATTGTGAGGACTCAAGTAAATTTTTAGGAATCTCTACATTATCTTCGGTTACGGTAAGGTACTTTAAGTTAGGATTAAAGATTTATGATTAGAGTTTTCATTATAAAATAATATCAGATATAATGAGTTATTACCAAATAGATTAATAAACTTGAACAGAAATTCCAGAGGCATTATTTTAGATCAAAATAATTAGTTTGCATCAGCAGAGAGTTGTGGAGATTATTAAGTTTATGATTAGGATCATGAACCGATTGATGTTAGATCACCAATGGAACTCCTCAATGGTGTATATCCGCAATTCTGCTCACGGGACTCGGACCTAGGACGACCTCGAGCACGAACACGTAAACTTTAGACCATTTAGCCTACATCCAACTGTATTGTTGTCTAACCTCAACTAATCCACGAAATTATGAGACTATCTTCCATTGTGCTGAGAAAGATACCTGTCTTTACTTGACATAGATTAGTTTCACTGATCATGGCTTCTAACTAAAACTCCAAGAATTATCTGATGAAGTTATTCACTAGTGAGTACGTCTACATTCTTTTAGTGAACGCATACTTTTGGGGAGTGTTATACTGGAACGAATCAGTTGACAACTTCACTTATTTTGGAAGTCTGATCAGCCCTAATGGGTTGGTATCGGACGAAATCTCAGCACGGATTCGAAAAGCTCGTTTGGCTTTCGCCAACTTACGTCACCTCTGGCGAAGGCGAGATATCCGTCTATCAATAAAAGGACGAGTATACTGGTGGCAGCTCGTTCTATTCTACTATACGGCTGCGAAACATGGCCATTAAGAGTAGAAAACATTCGTTAGCTACACTAGTATTTGACAACAGATGTCTTAGAAATATTGCTCGCATCTGCTGGGATCATCGGGTAAGTAATAGTGAGGTTAGACACAGGGTATCAGGAAATGATGATAAATCAGTTGATGAGGTTGTGAATCTTCATCGACACAGATGGTTCGGTCACGTGTTACATATGCCTGAACACCGATTACCACGACGTGCAATGCTGGCTGGTGTTGGAGATGGTTGGAAGAAAGTTAGAGGCGGCAAAGCCGAAATGTGGCATCAGTTCTTAAAGTCACTAACTGCTAGACTGAGCCATGTTAATAGATGCAGACTACTTGTTTGGGTCCGCGTAACTATCACAACCAATGGTTGGAGACTGTGTGTGACATGACTCAAAATCGATCACAATGGTGTTAGTGAGTAAACTCTTTGTATTCCCTTAAACAAAGAGGTTAAAATCACTTTATATCTTTCTTTCTACGTACTGACTCTTTCTTCCTGTACTGTATTCTTATAAGCAATCTTTCTTTTATACATTACCACTATTGACTTAACTACTCTTATGAATCCGGTGTTCATCTTGCTGTGGTAAGGTGGTATGGTAACTTGGACCGAGGCATATATATGCCTGATCCTACGTTGTAGCTGACTGACTGACTGACTAACTGACCCATCAGTCGATATCAGTAGTATACACCATATTCTCATCTTGAAATCACTTTTATCTATCATGATTGATTCAATAGTATACAATGTAGAATTCATTTTGATTAATAATAAGTCATTTATTTTCATTTATTTAATAACTTTTATCCTTCTGTTCAATGATAATCAGACAATTTTCTTCTTTTTTTCTTTCTCTTTGAATTCTTTATA